AGTTATTAAATGCCAGCGGTAGCAAGGAAGACCAATGGAACGACAAAAGAGAGAAAGCTCCCAAGAATTCTAATGAGGGTAAAAGGTCTAATAGTTCATTCCCATTACTTACTACATTTTGCCTTGTTTTAAAGAGTTCACGAAGTGTAAGACAATAGCACAAAATCTGTGGTTTTTATGCCTTGCTGCTTTCTATTATATGTCTTAACCTTGTGATGGTGATAAAATACATAATAAATAAGTTTTAGGGCCTTTTTCTAGCCAGAGATGTGGTTCCTCGGGAGCTGAATGTTAAACATAGTGAACTGGATTTCTTTTCCCAAAAAGAAATGCAAAAACTGGAGGTTACAAGAAAGCTGGCATGAAAGGTGTTTACAGACATAAGCATCAAGATTGCGATAATAAAAGTGTCTTGAAAAGAATGCATTTAAAAGCATTTCAACAAAATGTATCTAACAAAAATTAAGTATCTACAAAACATTAAAATTATTTAAAAGTACATCTCCAATCCAATTACAAAGGCTTACTTTTGCTGTGTTCTTGAAATCTCAGGAGATGTACTAGACAAGGCATTTTAGTATAGTAAAAAACAATCTTTCTAGTATAAGGGGGAAATTACCATAAAGTTGCAAGAGTAGAGCTGGAAATGGCTAGAATACAGTCAGTCTGCAGAAGCAGAACGGGAAATGGAAATGAATGGCTCCCCAAATTACTATTTGGGGTAAATATTGTCTTTTTCTACTCTTTGTACCTGTTTCACTGTGTTGGCTTCATTCTATCTGCACAGCTCTGATGTTCAAAGCACAAGACAAAGATGGCTGTGTGGTGGAGTAGTCAAGAAACTACCTAACAGAGAAACTGAATGCTACTGGTGACAATTCCAAATACTCATGGGAAGGGATATTTTTGTCTTATTCCTACACACCTGGCCTGTGTGTGAGGTCACACTGAAAGAACATATCTATGAAAAGAGGCTCACATGTTTATCTAGACAATGGGTCATATATGAAATTGGGATCTATAATTTAAGACAAATACTAATTCCCTTGTCCATTCAACAAATATTTAATGAACATTCACTATGTCTTAGTCATAAATACTGAATATCCAGATAGCAAATAAGGTAAATGGGGCATCAGGGAAAATTGTCACAATTCATTTAAATTAGAGTGGTTTCATATAAAAGAAAATGAATGACAAAGCAAAACATTCTACCTTGCTAGATAGACATGAAAATAAGGATGGAAAATCCTTTAAAAACAAAAGTAATTTCCTAAGTTCCTGAAGTGGAAATGAATCCAGTATGAAATTTAAGATCCCTATTGACTTTCTAAATACATCATTTGGGTCACTCTTAAAGGAAGGGAAATTGTAAAACCTTTATAAGAAATTTGTTCAATGAGTCCTAGTTGCATAACTATAGATGAGAACCATGTATAGAATAGGTAAATACAAATCTATTATCCACTCATACAATTTGAAACTTATAGGAAATGGTTAAATCACTATATTTTCTTTACATGGACTCCACCTAATATAATGTGTCAATACTGGACAGAGCATATATTTTGGAGAGAAGCTGCTATCAGCACAAATAATTCATAATATGGTTTTAGGAAGGAATGAAATTTTATATTAAATGGAGAGCTTTGTAGCATATTCAAATGTATAATTTGAAATAATATATCATGAAACAGTAGTATTAAGAAGATTTTGGCAAACAGTCTCTGCTTTCAGGGCCCAGTAAGAAAAGGAACTACTAATACTGAGCTCACCAATTAACAGAGAATGGGGCATCCAGCAATTTTTATGTTTTTTAAATTTATTTACATATTTTGAGATGGAATCTTGCTCTGTTGCCCAGGCTGGAGTACGCTGGTGTGATCTCAGCTAACTGCAACCTCTGCCTCCTGGGTTCAAGCGATTCTCCTGCCTCAGCCTCCCAAGTAGCTGGGATTACAGGTGCCCACTACCACACCCAACTAATTTTTGTATTTTTAGTACAGATGAAGTTTCACTATGTTGGCCAGATTGGTTTCTAACTCCTGACCTCAAGCGATCAGCCTTCCTCAGCCTCCCAAACTGCTGGGATTATAGGCGTGAGCCACCACATGTGGTTACAGAATATTCTGTTTTTCACCTACTTCTTGATCTTATTCTTATTAATCTTCATTCACTACTTTATCCAGTCACAAGTTATCCAAGTTAACTTGTCACTTGGATGCTGATTTCTCCTAAATATCTACACTATAAGGTTCTCTACCTCTCCCATGGAATATTCTATTCCATCTGAAACTTTTTCTTCATCCACACTATACTGTAGCTTCCCTAAGAGGAGTTGCATGTGATTTATTTGCATGTATATGTCCAGTGTCTGAAACAGTATATGCTGAGTACACATTTATTAACTTTGCTTCCTTCTAAGCCTTATATTACTCCCATTAAAATGACCTTGTCTTACAATCCGCTCAGCTCATGAGCTTCTATTCATTTTCTCGTGATTTAAGTCAAGCACTCCTTTGATGAAACTTTTCCTGAATCCTTCAGAATAAGCCACTACTTTCTTTGCCCAGCATAAACTCCACCTCTACCATTAACATAAGACCACACCTTTATTCTGATTCTGGATTCTTATTTGTATCTTAGAAATAATATTTTATGTATATATACATACACACACAAAAGCACATATATATCACATATAAAATATGATTTATCACATATGTATATATAAACACATACATGTAATATGCCTATATATACACACACACATATATATAGTACTTATGCATTACATATTTGTAATCCTCAACATGATTGTTGAAGTCAAGGAAATAAATACCAGTATTTTCTTGGGATTGCAGATGTGTTTTCTAAGGATTAGAGAGGTGTAATATCTAAGTACTGTATATGACATGAATGGATTCATGTCATAATAGAAATAATTTTTCATTAAAGAAAACAAAAGATATGTGAAACAAAAAATAAGTTAGGAAGCAAAAACTAAGTGCTGTTAGAGTTATCTTTAAATACATATATTAAAATAAAGATATGCATATGCATTAGTAAAAAGTTTAGATGAACTTTTAGAGATGCTAATTAGGAACCAAAATTTACTTTTGTAAAAGAAATAGCTTACTTTTTATCCAGGAAGAAATCTTGACCCTCCTTATCTTACTTTTTCCAAATGTGTTCATTCTAATAATGTATCTTCTTAATTCGAAATGCTTTCTAACACAGTATACATCATATATCAAAAATATCTACATGCTTTGTTCATATTGCCAAAGTTTAAAAATAGACTAAAGTACATTTTTTATCATTCCACGCTGTTACCTTATAAGATCATGAGAATTATTATAAAATATGTAAAAAGACATTTTCGTCTTATTTAATATAATGACAGTCATTTACAATAGTCACGAAATTTTTTGTTGTCAGTGAAATTTAGTTTCATGTATAGAAAAGTAAAGCAAACATAAGAAGAAGAACAAAGATCTTTACATTACATTTTAAAATTTTTCTATTATTCTCATCTAATAGATGGTTTAAATTATTTATTTTCCCTGCTTCAGAATTCGGCTTTCTTTGTTAGTTTGTTTTTTCCACAATGTCATTGAGTTTCCTGGCATATGTTCTAGGATAGCTTGTGCGTTCTCTTCTTTAAACAACAGCTCCCTCAACAAGTAAGTTCTTTTAAGGCCCTCTCATTCTATGATTCAGATATCCTTTACTATCTACTTTTGATTAACAAAGACATCAAAATTAAACAGCATAATTTTTAAAAACTGTTGACACATAACTTGTAGAACCAGAGCTCTGTGAATCAAGCAGAGAATAAGGAAATACCTTCAGTTCATTCGCTTTACTAGTCCAACTACGAGAGTCGTTTTAAAAATGGATATCATAAGCCACACAATGTTATTTATGTTTTGAGGTGGTTCATTTTCTAAGGTTGTTACCAATTTTAGATATATTTAATACATTGAAAATATTTAAATATCACTTCTTTTCACTACTTATCTAAGTATAGAATCATTAAATTTTTATACATCTCTAAATAATTTACTATCCACAAACTGGTTTACTGGATCAGTATTCAAAACATTTAACCTAAAGTTATATTACAGTGCTCCTAAGACGTGTGCAAAGATTACTGAAAATAAGGTCAAATATATTCTAGGAATACTATTATTTAAAATATATATACTACTAATTCTTGTATAAGAATAAATTCTTAATTGTGCAAAGGCTACATCGCCATCTCACTTTGTCAAAGTCCCCTTCAAGTTCAGATTTTCCTAAACATATTCCAGTTAAGGCAAAATTTTAGAAACTAACCGTGAGTGCTAATAGCCAGTTTAACAGAGAATAGATCAATGAAAGCCAAAAAAATAGTTTCCAAAAGGACTGGTTTTCTCCGAGTAACTTGATCTATACACATACACATTTGTGATCATGCATGTATGGATCTACGTTAAGTGCTCATGATTTCCTATGAATCTACTTCTTCAAATAATTTGTAAGTTTTCAAAACAAGATGCTTTCTTTTTTTTTTTTTTTTTTTTAGTAACAGCCTTAGTCTCCTTAGGTAATATAAAATACTCAAAGTCAAAAGTGGCAGAAAAGAGGCAGAAATGGAGATGACTGGCTAAAGTTATCAATTCTTATCTGATTGCTCCTCTGACTCTCCTAGTTCACAGCTTCTCAGAAAAAGATTTGCTAGATGTCATGTACTACACGATGACAGAATTTTTTTATCAATTGTTAAGTCAACAGCAACTGCTCTAAACTCAAAAGTGTCAGTCATTATGGCTTAACAAAGCCAAACTCTTGTTCTTTTCCTGGGTGTGTTTCACTATCTCTTATCTCCTCCCTACAGTCACAGTGCCTGCCAGGCAGAATAGCACAGCTTCCAGGTATCAGCATGCAGATCTACCTGTATGCATCATGACACCAATGTCCAACCACAAAGAACAGAAAGAAAGCCATAGTTTTACCCGCAGGAAAGAGAGGTCCCGGTTGTGCTCAATGCTGGTTATCTCCAGGTTGCCCATGACGACCTCACAGTTTTCATAGTACTTGCGCAAGGCTCGGTACTGCTGTTCCAGGTCAGACAGAGAGCTCAGTTTATTTTCAGTTCCTGCGCACACTGCAAAGACAAGAAGATACACGTGAAATTATATAACCTTTATATGATATGCACAATGATAATACCTTCTTCAGAACTCTATTCCACAAACCTATCCCAGTTCTCTGAATACAAATATTTTGATTGTCATTAAGAGTCATAGACCCACATACTGATAAATATTTTCACTTTTATATTCCCAAATTACATGTGCTAATCACAGAGAGGAGGAAGGCATAGATTCCACAGAAATAAATAGCAAGGAGATAAACTTAATCCCATTTGTAATGACCACATGAAGCATGTAAATACATTTACTTTTATTTAAACGTGTTTTTTGTTTGTTTGTTTGTTTGTTTTTTAGGACATATAATTTATTCTCTAACTGGGCAATTCTACAAATGAAAATGAATCAAAATCAAAAGATAGTGAAAGTAACAGTTTTACTTAAAAATTGTATTTATTGTATAAGGTGTTCTAGCTGAGTAAATTTTTTACATAAACTTGTACCTACAAGACCTCAAACACACTTTACTTTTATTATTTTTTAACTTTTAAGTTCAGAGGTAAATGTGCAAGTTTGTTTACATAGATAGACTTGTGGCATGGGGGTTATTCACACAGATTATTTCACCACCCAGCTACTGAGGCTAGAACCCATTAGTTATTTTTCCTTGTCCTCTCCCTTCTTTCAGCTTCCATTTTCCAGTAGGCCCCAGGGTATGTTTTTCTCCTCCATGTGCCCATGCATTCTCATCATTTAGCTCCCACTTATAAGTGAGAATATGTAGTATTTGGTTTTCTGTTCCTGCTTTAGTTTGCTAATGATAATGGCTTCTAGCTCCATCCACGTCTTTGTAAAGGACATGATTTCACCATTTTTTATGGTTGCATAGTATTCTATGGTATATATGTACCACATATTGTTTTTCCAGTCTATTACTGATGGGCATTTAGGTTGATTTCATGTCTTTTCTATTGTGAACAGTGCTGTAATAAGCATACAACGTGCATCTGTCTTTATAATAAAATTATTTATATTCCTTTAAGTAGATAGACAGTAATGGGATTGCTAGGTTAAATGGTATTTCTGTCTCTAGGTCTAAATTGAAATATTTGTAAACTATAAACAAGATATATAAAAAATACAACTTTTATTGTTATCACCTGAAACATCACTGTATATATTCATGAGTTTCTGAGGTACACTGAGTTTCCTGGCAAATTGATAGTAAATAATCTGTCTGCCAAGTTCTGTTCCTATGTGAGCACATAAGTTTTTTGTTTTTTGTTTTGTTTTGACTTTTTAATTTTGTGGCTGGGCATGGTGGCTCACATCTGTAATCCCAGCAATTTGGGAGGCTGAGGCAGGTGGATTACCTGAGGTCAGGTGTTCCCAATCGGGCCAACATGGAGAAACCCTGTCTCTTAGTAAAGAAGACAAAGATTATCTGGATGTGGTGTTTCATGCCTGTAATCCCAGCTACTCAGGAGACTGAGGCAGGAGAATCACTTGAACCCAGGAGGTGGAGGTTGCTATCAGCCAAGATCATGACACTGCACTCCAGCCTGGGCAACAGAGTAAGACTCTGTTGCAAAAAAAAAAAAAAAAAAAAATTTGTGTGACTTCCAGAAGCCAGATTTTTAGCTATTATTCTCATGGTTTATATACCTGACAGAACACAATCTTTACCACTTAATGTACTGACTCTAATCCTAAGTAGACTAAAAAATAAATTATAAATCTTTTAATAATGGTATATAGTGTTAAATGGTTCGGAAATTTAAGGCAAGGTACAAAGTGTAGATTGCAAACACACTAGGAACACAGCTTAGTAATAAGGTAATGTATACAGTCGTGTCTTATATACACAGAAGTAAAAAACAAATCATGATGCCTGATGTTGTTTTCAAAGGGATGAATTCCTGCAGTGGAAAGAAAACACATCTAGATGGGTATAGCCTAATCATTAGGACTACCTTAAAAGCTGTTTTGCTTATGAACACATCAAAAATAACAAAGATTTTAATCCAAAAATCTTTAAAAATAGTATACGTCTGTAACCATCATAGAAACTCATTATAAAAACAAAAACACAAACTTTTAAAGTCTGGATTTCTAAAGTAGACCAACAATATATTTTCTAAAAGTCCTCTGTTACCAGTGTGTCCTTAAAAGACACATGAAGTCCTAAATCCCATTATCTAGGAATGTGACCTTATTTGGAAACAGGTCTTCCTAGATGTAAACCAAATTAAGATGAGGTCATTAGGGTGGTAACTAATTCAACATAATGATGTCTCTATAAGGCAAGTTTGTTCAACCTGCAGCCATCAGGCCACAGGGCAGCCCAGGATGACTTTGAATGTGGCTCAACACAAATTCCTAAACTTTCTTAAAACATTATATTTTTTGTATCATCTATCATTAATGTTAGTGTATTTTATGTGTGACCCAAGACAATTCTTTTTTCAGTATGGCCCATGGAAGACAAAAGATTGGACAGCCCTGCTATAAAAAGAGGAAAGTACCATGCGCACACAAAGACAACCAGAGAAGAAAGCCCCATGAGCAGAAACGCAAAGGGTACAGCAATGTTGCTAAAGGCCAAGGAATGCCAAAGATTGATGGTCACCATTAGAAGCTAGAGAGAGGGAAGGAAGAATTCTACCTTGAGTTTCAGAGGCAGAATGAGCCTGCTGTCACCTTGATTTTGGACTTCTAACCTCCGGAATGGTGAGAGAATAAACCACTACTGTTTTAAGCCACCCACTCTGTGGTACATTGTTAGAGTAGCACTGAAACAATCTTCAGACCATTTCTCTCTAAATCCTACATTAAATAAATCTTAAAAATCACTTCCTCTCTCTCCAGGGTCCTATCACCTTATAACCTCCATGCTAGTCTTCCCTTGCTCCCTCCAAGCCCCTCATACGTCACACTGGAATTCATTCACTGGATTTGAGAATGTCATTCACTGGATTTGAGAATGCAGATTTTATAGAGTGATGTGGATGGATACTATGGGAAAGACCTCTAGAATCTTTAATATCCATTTTACTCTTCCTTCATTGTAACAGACTGCACAATTTTTACTTGGACATGTGGTCACCCAAAATAAAGATTGTATTTATCTGAACCCCTTAGAGGTAAGTTTGGTCAATGGACTAAGTTCTGACATGTTGTATGACACCTTCCCAGAACTTGATTTCAAACATGGCTGAAGCCTGATTTTGCCTGGTTTCTTCTTCGTAATGTCTTCCAGCCTGATGCCAGAAATGCAGATGTCATGGCTAAAACATGAGCCATCCTCTTGGACCACAAGAATGAGTGACACATCTTAGAGATGGATGAGAACTGAGCTAAAAGGGAGTAGGATTTTCAAGCAATAGATATTTTACATTGTCATATTATCAATATGATCAAGATAATGATGAATATTGGCCCCACCTGCTAAAACGTTACACACAGAAAGGATTAAATTCTGGTTGAGTTATATGCTTTTGACTTTGAAAAATTTTAACCGTTTTACTTGGTTTGGCTGAATTTGCTCAATTTATAGAGAAATTACAGTATCATTCCTAATCATACCATCTTATTGGCTCTGTGGAACGTTCTCTTATTATTAAAACAAACACACAGGAAGAAATGAATTTATGTTGGTAACTACAATAATATTCAACATACACAGGAGAACAAAAAAAAATTTGTTCATGTGCATATTCCTGATAAATTAAGATCAAAGTCCAAGATATTTTTCATTATATATTAAAGTCCCTTTTGGAAAAACCTTAATCCATGATCTTCATTTTATTGTTCCATGTAAATTTATATAAAATCTTTACAAAATTATAAAATGACTGTTAAGAAAAGGTATTATTATATGGGTTTATGAAACACAGATTTTAATTATCTCAAATTCCAATGAGGATGAACATATTTTAATATAATTAATTATAGGGTAATATGGCATCCATTAATAAACTTGCTTCACCATTTTTAAAGTATATCCAGTAACACATTGCAATCTATGTATCACTTATTTTGTATTGTTTCTTTCAATTGGAAATCATACTCATACTTTAATATAAAATTAAATATGTAATAACATAAATGAAATTGTTTTCAAAATATTTGGTGTATTCTGACCTTTTCTATAGAAACTTAAACAACTTTTGAGAGATGTATCTATACTATAACTGCAATATGTAGGTATTTTTGCATAATTCCCATTATACATATATAAAAAAAGTATACAAGAATATATCCTATATTATAATATAATATTATACAGTATTATTTGAATCTGGATAGTTATAAATTAATGGTAAGTTTTTCTCACTGTCAATATTCATTTAGATATTTGTATAGTACAAATACTTCGGATTTCGTTTAAACTTCTTATAATGAACATACACTATCCTACAATGCAAGAATTCATTTAATTGATATCAGAACAATTATAACTGGTACTCAGAAAATGACCCTCAACTAAAAAAAAGTTGCAGTTGCTCAATAAATGATCAGCTAAGTTTTGTATATACTTTCTTAAAATGGAAAATTGGAATAAGTGTGTTTAGAAATATTTCTCGGCAACAAAACATGATCCTACAAAAAACAGAAAATAATATTAATTACAATACTCTATTTGCCAAACATTCTAGTCTTTGCAGTTTTTTTTTGCTACATGCGGCTCAATTTAGTAGATATTTTGTCTCTGGAGGCTTTCATTTATGTTTGATTCAAACTATCTAGAATTCACAGTATATTCATCATAAATTTTATCTTGAAAGACAAACTTGATTTTTAAAGAACTAGTTTGGATAGGTTCATACAAATCACTTTTAGTTGTCTTTGTGGAGCCTCCACTGAGTGACTCACAACTTTCATTTGTCAATTGATTTTACAATCAAGCAATGTATACAAGACAATGCTTAAACCATCCAGTTTTATTGATTTCACAAAGCTGTTTATCAAAACACAATTGAAAAATTGTCTTCAGCAGCCAAAATTTGTTTAA